GCTGCCATGTAATTACCATGCGATAACAAGAAGTTGGACTGCTGTACCTAATAAAGTGGCCGGTGAGTGTACAATCAAGTATTTTGTGATGTTACAGAACCTGCACTGTAAATAAAATATCTGTTAATATTAAGTGAAAGTAAGTGTTTTATGTTTATTTAAAGTAGTAAATTGCATAATGGGATGTTCATCTCTGGTCTGTTGACTTTTTAAGTTAAACTCTACTGTTTAACAAAGTGACTTTTTATTGACATTTTAATAGTTTGAAGTAATATAATGTGTAATATCTAGAGAATTAGTCTGTAAAATAATAGAAAATGTGCTGGCAGTTTATTACAAGGTTTTTGTAGTGTAATATACAACACAGACAATATAGCACTGCAAACTATTAAACATGTTCATGAAAGTAACCCAGGTGAGCAAATATGTACATTTTCTACCCCATTAAAGACTTCTTTCTCATTATGTAGTTAATAACAAAAGATATACTACGTGTTGGGTGACGCAGTGGCGCAGTAGGTAGTGCTGACGCCTCACAGCAAGAAGGTCGCTGGCTCGAACCTCGGCTCAGTTGGCGTTTCTGTGTGGAGTTTGCATGTTCTCCCTGCATTCACGTGGGTTTCCTCCGGGTGCTCTGGTTTGCCCCACAGTCCAAACACATGCAGTACAGGTGAATTGGGTAGGCTAAATGTTCCATAGTTTATGAGTGTGTGTGTGTGTGTGTGTGTGTGTGTGTGTGTGTGTGTGTGTGTGTGTGTGTGTGTGTGTGTGTGTGTGTGTGTGTGTGTGTGTGTGTGTGTGTGTGTGTGTGTGTGTGTGTGTGTGGATGTTTCCCAGAGATGGGTTGTGGCTGGAAGGGCATCGGCTGCGTAAAAACGTGCTGGATAAGTTGGCGGTTCATTCCGCTGTGGCGACCCCGGATTAATATTAGGGACTAGGAATTAGTGACTAAGCCGACAAGAAAATGAATGAATGAATACTATGTGTTTTTGGCTGTGAGATGTAGTTTGGATGAAGTTGTAGGCTATTCTTCCCACGGTAAAGTCATGCAATGTGAAAGCCCCTGTCTCTGATCCATCTTGCAGTGCAAACAAAGCAGCGACAATACGCTAGCCCAGATAGTCATGCAGTGTGAAAGCATCTGTGACACGACTACTTTGAAAATCCTGCAGTCTGAACTTGGCTTGCGACCTTGTCCTTTACGCACTGAAATTCCTCCTGATTCCTTGTACCTTTTAATTACGTTATGCCTTGTTGAAGGTGAAATTAACTATGTACATGTAGCATGTTACCCAAAACATTAACATTTGTGTGCTTGTATGAACTCCTCAAAACTCGAGCTAGCAAATCACATGAAGGCACGAGAGCAGAGGATATTCAGCGGCCATGTCTGTAGGGGCTGCAGACGTGACCGTGTCCCCAATACAGCGCCGAAGAAAAGCCCAGAGCCGCCTTTGAGATGGAAATGTTAAGGAGGTAGCGAGGGTGTCCAGGGCAATATGAATTATTCAAAAGAACCTTTTGAGTCTTGACGGTCAATATCTGTGACTGAAAGAAGAGACAAGCCCAGAACCACGCTTCTCAGAATAGGATTCTCAGATCTGAAAGTATGAGCCGGTTTGTCTGTAATGGGCATTTCTGTCAGAGCCGCGAGATGCGAACTAGGTTACAACCGGTTTGGCATAAGAATGTTGTGCGAGTAGTAGCAGGCTTTGTGCTGCATTGATAGCACAGGCGTGTTCATACACAGTGTCCTGAATGCATGTTTTATTCTCCCTCATACATTCACCAAAACAAGAGTGACCTGTCATACTGAAGATGTCATATAAAAAAAAGAGGAAGAAACAACAACTCTTAAAAAAGCTGGGTCCACAACTTGAAGGAATTAAGTTAACATATTATATTTTACTATTTTAAGCGAATTAAACATTAAACCATTAATAATAAAAAAAGAAAATCTCAAAAATTGTGTTTCAGCTCATTTTAAATAAATAGTTTGAAAGCATGTAAAATGTTTTAATATGCTATATATATATATATATATATATATATATATATATATATATATATATATATATATATATATATATATATATATATATATATATATATATATATATATATAAAATGACCTAAAATATTAAAGGTCATTCATTTTCTTTTTGGCTTAGTCCCTTTATTGATCCTTGGTCGCCACAGCGGAATGAACCGCCAACTTATCCAGCACATTTTACGCAGCGGATGCCCTCCAGCCACAACCCATCTCTGGGAAACATCCACACACACTCATTCGCACACAATAATACATTTTATATGTAATAAAAATCTCTTTACATGTAATAAATGTATAACACTATATTAATAATTCACTCAAGCGATTTAACAGTGCGTATTTGCTTAATGTTCTAATAACCTTTAATTAATAATTTTCCACATTAAATACTGTAGTTATTTATAGTAAGCAACATATTGTTTTTAAACCAAAATTTAGCAATAGAAACAAATTAACTATAAATAATTAATAAAAAAATACAATAATAACTAGATATATATCTAACAGCTGTGACAGTGAAAGAAAGTAGTTTATAATCAGATAATCAGTTAACTCCTTGTCATTATGGCCACCTATTGAATTTCGCAAATTGGCCTGGTTTTCCATTTTATTTATTATTATTATTATATCTTAACGATCATTTTAACATCTCTGCAGTTTCTGAACTCAAATTATGTTAATAAAAATAATTGGTTAAAGACACTTATGACTTTATTCACGTGTCAACATACAAAAAGAAAACATAATAATCCGTCTAATTGCAGGATTAAGTGTAATAAGCTAATTCAGGATCTTAATCTTATCATAAAAGCACTTTGTTGTAAAATATAAACAATAATGTGTCACATTGCAATGAATTACCATAGTTAATCATTTAAACAATGTATAATTTAGTCATAAACTTACTATCTTAATTAATTACCATATATGGTTTGCCTAAATCGTGTGTGCTGGTTTGTGTGTGCCTGAAACGTGTGTGTGGTTCTGCGGTTCTGCAGCTGGATATATCTCAATTTTACTAACATAGAGTATTTTTTAAACACATTTCTAAACATAAGTTTTAATAATCCATTTCTGATAACAGTAAAAAATAATTGCCATGACGACAGCACATAATATTAGACTAGATATTCTTAAAGATGCTCGTATTCATCTTAAAGTGACATTTAAAGGCTTAACTAGCTTAATAAGGTTTGGCTCGGGTAATTAGGTAGGCCATTCTATAACAGTGGTTTGTTCAATATGCAATAAAAAACAAGTATAGCTTAAGGGGGCTAATAATATTGACCGTAAAATGGTTGTAAAAAATAAAAACTGCTTTTATTCTAGCAGAAATAAAACAAATAAGACTTTCTCCAGACGAAAAAATATATATATTATAGGAAATACTGTGAAAATTTCCTGAATCTGTTTAACATCATTTGGAAAATATTAGAAGAAAACTAAATGAATAAAAAAATAAAATAAAAAAATCACAGGAGGGAGAATAATTCTGAGTTTAAATGTATGCTTTGACGTGAACAAAAAGTATGTGACACGAATATCACCATCATCAACATTTTTTATAATTTATTTTAACTTAAACAGTACAGTATCGCTCCAAGAAAATAATCCTGTGTGACTTGAGTTGCGCTGAGTTTCCATCTCAGTGTGGAGGTACAGTAAATCCTCATACTCAGCAGCTAAAGCGCAGACAAACAGCTGATCATCAGGAAGTGAAGGTTAATAGAGAACGTTTAAAGACTAATGCACTTACAGTGTTTTGAGAGGTGACGGTTGTAAAGCTTTATGGAGGTTAAAGGGTCAGTGGTCCCATTTCTCTCCCCAGCTCACTATCATTCATGCTCACTCTCAGTCTTTGTCTTTAGATTTAAAACTTCTTTGCCGAGCAAAAGTCACGCAGGTCTTTGAGATTAGTCATAACTAGAAGAGCGCGGCTTAAAGACGGGGATTATATTTTTGTCCACAATTTGCATTGCATTATGTGAGAACCTACTTTTTTGTCATCGCTGATTTCTACTTACCCGCTGGCATCTATATTGTTTAAAATGGTATAAGCTGTTATTTAAATTTAAAATAATAATAATAATAATAATAATAATAATAATAATAAAACATATAAATAAATAATTATAAAAATAAATGAAAATATGAAAATAAATAGTAAAATAAATATATAAATAAATAAAAATAATAAAAATAAATTAAATAAATTATTAAATAAAACTATAAAAATTATCAAATAAATAAATGAATCTAATTAAATAAAATTAATATAGAAATAAAAATTCATAATCAATTAAAAAACAAAATAAATAGTAAAATAAATTAATTATTAAATAAAATTAATAAATAAATAAAAAACAAATAGTAAAATTAATAAATAGTAAAATAAATAAATACATACATAAATAGAAATTTGAAAAATAAAAAAATTATTAAATAGTAAAATTAATTAATTAATCAATAAAAATAAATAAATACATAAAAAATTAAATAGCAAAATAAATAAATATTCAATAAAAAAATTATAAAAATTTTAAATAAATAGTAAAAGAAATAAACAAATTCATTAATTTATTAATTAAATAAAATATTAAATAAATAAATAAATAAATAAATAAATAAATAAATAAATAAATAAATAAATAAATAAAAAATTCATATTTTAAAGACATGGCGGGAAACAATGAAATGTGTTGCAGTGGTTCTTGTACATTCTGAGACCCACTTTATATCATATATCAACCAGGCAGTGAAGATCATTGACTTTACAAGAAAACAGACCTTAAACAAGACGATTTTATAACAGCATTAGCTTCACTGGAAGCACTTTAACTAAATTACTGAAAATTAAAAGTCCTCCTGCATAAACACTATCGCAATGAAACAGTAAATACTGAATGATTACTGTAAATGACTACAGAAACATGCTGAAAAGTTTCACCTGATGTGAAGTGATGCCTGCTGTCTGCTGGGATGGACACCAAAGCATCAACAATGTCCGACCTTCTCTGAAGGAGCCTGGAGATCATCTCAAACCCCTCAAGACCCAGAAACTCAAAGAGCTGACAGAGAGAGAAAGACAGAGAGAGGAATGATTGACATTAGAAACAAAGGTAGAGGAGCAGAAGATGCACTGAATGACAAATGACAAAATCACAAACAAAAACAAGTGGCAACTAATAAAAGAAGTGATTAATCATAACAACATCCAACCCCACTTTATATTTGGTTAATAATACGGTTGTGCTATACAAATACAGTTGAAGTTATTCGCACTGTGAATTTGTATTAAATATTTCCGAAATAATTTTCAACAGAGCAAGGAATTTTATACAGTATTTACTATAATATTTTTTCTTCTGGAAAAAGTCTTAATTATTTTTATTCGGCTAGAATAAAAGCAGTTTTTAATTTAATTTTTTTTTACTGTTTTAAGGTCAATATTACTAGCCCCCTTAAGCAATATTTGTTTTCTGATTGTATTTAACAGTGTTAGAAAAAAATAAATAAATAAATAAATAAATAAATAATATATTATATATATATATATATTTTTTTTTTTAATTATTATTATTTATTTTTTTTTTTTTAATATTTCCCAGATGATATTTAACAGAGCAAGGACATTTTCACAGCATGTCTGATAATATTTTCTCTTCTGGAGAAAGTCTTATTTGTTTTATTTTGGCTAGAGTAAAAGCAGTTTTTAAATTTTAACACCCCATTTAAAGGACAAAATTATTAGCCCCTTTAGGCAAATTTTTTTTCGATAGTCTACAGAACAAACCATCATTTGTCACTTTAAGCTGTATAGAGGTGCTAATAATTCTGACTTCAACTGTGTGTGTGTGTGTATATATATATATATA